TAGAGTTATTAATTTAAAACTAAGTCAGAGTGTTCGCGAGAATCGTAACGCGAAGCTCAACATTTTTTGGTCCTTCGAGCCGGATCCCGTGTGTGAAAGTGCTACGACAATAGTCCAGTTCAGTCTATCACTGGGTCCATCAAATCATATCAGCAGCCAACCACAAATTCGCTGCTGAATTCATCGCCTGACCCACGCAGTAGGGATCAGTACTATCAAGGAAGTCTACACATTGCAAGGACGGCAGATCCATAGCAGGGACCTTCAAGATCCTGACAGCAGCCAGCAGAAACCATCGAGCGTCTCTGCCAACCGCCAACGAACGAGTCAACCACCGTGACATCGTGAACCGTGACAGCATTCAACAAGGATCATCGAGTGATCCTGCCGATTGCCATCGAACGAGTCAGCATCAAGGACTCCAGAATCAGGACAAGATCCACGGATCTTCATCACGAATCGTGAGTCAAGTACCAGTCATATACTCGTCAATTTCATCGTAATTTTCCTTCCCTTTCTACCATCGAGATGGCTCACGAAGGCAGCGCACAAACCGAACGCGATCTCATCCGAAAACGCGCGACAATCAAATCAAAATTAACCGCATTTACTAAGTTCATCGAGTCTTGTCAAGAATCGGAAGATATTCGGTTAGATCAAGTAAAATTACGTATCGCGCGGCTCGAAAAGGAATTCGACACATTTGATTCAGTCCAGCAAGCGTTAGAGTTATCCGCATCCGACAACGACTACGCAATCAGACTCGGTGAAAGAACCGAGTTTGAAGATCAATATTACGAAGCTCTAGCCATCGCGACACGTATCGTAAGGGATCACGATAAAACTCATGGTCAGACAGGCGAACCGTCTCAATCGGCCGCGATAGTAGCGCAGGGACAATCAATGCATCAATTCGTACAACCTTCCGGTTCGAATAATGCAATCCACAACAATCAATCTCGACTAACGATTATATCAGACCAGCACGTAAAATTACCGACCATGCATTTGCCAAAATTCAGCGGCACCTACGATGCATGGCCTGGTTTCGCAGACGCATTCAAATCAGCGGTACATGATAACCCAACCTTCCGCGATGTTCAAAAGCTCATCTATTTAAAGTCGTGCCTAACAGGCAAGGCGGCAGAAAAGGTCGAGTCATTAGAAACCACCACGGCGAACTATACCGTAGCTTGGAATATAATAGAAAGATACTACAACGATCCAAGTATCGTTATAAACAATCGCGTTCAAGCGTTCTTTGAGCTCCCTGCATGCTCGCGATTTAATGTAGCGACGTTAGGCGAATTAACCGATACAGCCACTAAACACTATAATGCGTTAAAGGCGCTAAACAAGCCATTTTTAGAGGCGTTTCCTATTTACGCGATTACCGCCAAACTCGACGAACAAACACGACTACGATGGAAGGAGAGAACACAAGGAATCGATCTTCCATCGATGGAGGATTTGTTAGACTTCTTACCCAATCGACGTAGAGTCTTAGAAACCACGAAAATCGAGCCACCAAGACCAATAACACGTTCCAATCAAGCATATGCGAATCCCAAGTTACGTAACCGCGGATCGACAAATATGAACGTACAAACGTTGGCACACCCTGCACAACAAGCTCGTTGCTTTATGTACAAGGCAAATCATTTCACGCAATATTGCCAAAAATTAACGAACGCGAACATCGATCAACGAGTGGAGATGGTTCGGAAGGCTGGTCTATGCAACAATTGCCTACGAGCGAACCACGACATTAAGGATTGTACAGCGGGATCTTGTAAGCGATGTAATGGAAAACACCATACATTGTTACACATGGAGCAGCAGCCAGTGCGAGCGAACGTGTCCGCGTTAAGCGTAAAAACTGAAAACGAAACTCTTTTATCCACCGCAATCGTTTACATTCGCGATAATAGAGGCAAATTACAATCGTGTCGAGTTCTGCTAGATTCTGGCGCACAGTCTCATTTCCTAACAGAGCGTTTTGCCAAGCACTTATCGCTACCGCAACAAAAAACAAACATCCCCGTAGTAGGGATCAATCACTCATCGTCACAGATAAAAAGCACGCTTCGCGCCACGGTAAAATCACGAATCAACGATTTCAAATTCGACCTAACCTTTCTCATATTACCGCATATTACCGAAATTATTCCATCTCGTCCAATCTCCAAAGCACAGCTCCACATTCCGTCCAATATTCCTCTTGCCGATCCAGGATTCAATACCCCCTCCGAAATCGATGCTTTAATCGGGGCCGAGTTTTTCTTTAAACTTTTGTGTGTAGGGCAATTTTCAATTGCAAACGATGCCATAACATTACAGAAAACAAAAATAGGCTGGATACTCGCCAGCAAATTACCTGACGAGTATCCCTTACAAGCGACTCAATGCCACGTGGCGCGCAAATAGTTAGAAGCACGAGTAGCGAAATTTTGGGAATTAGAAGAGACGCCGCACGGAATAGCATTGTCCCCTGAAGAACGCGCGTGTGAGATTCATTTTACAACCATAATAACCCGTGACCCTGCCACCGGACAATACATCGCGAGACTTCCGTTCAGAACGCATCCGCCATTATTCGGCGATTCCTACAGTGCGGCACGTCGACGTTTTCTCGCGTTGGAACGAACCTTCACAAAAAATACTAACCTAAAGAGTGAATACATCAAATTCCTCAGTGAATACCGTGACCTAGGGCACATGACAAAACTCGAAAATCCTAATACGCAAGACGGGTATTATCTCCCCCATCATGCAATAACAAAACAAGATAGTCTAACAACAAAACTACGCGTAGTGTTTGACGCCTCCGCGAAATCTTCTAATGGAGTTTCATTAAACGACACGCTGTTAGTCGGTCCCATCATTCAAGAAGAACTTTATGCCCTTCTAATTCGCTTCCGATCGTATGCGTACGTGTTAACGGCCGATATTGCGAAAATGTGCCGGCAAATCTTGATAGATCCACAGGATAGAATTTATCAAAAAATTCTATGGCGAGAAACCTCAGAACAGCCAATCGAAACATATCTATTGAATACCGTAACCTACGGAACTTCCGCGGCACCGTTTTTAGCCATCCGCACGTTGCAACAACTAGCAACGGACGAAGGTGAAAAATATCCACGGGCAGCTAGGGTGTTACGGGAAGATTTTTACGTCGACGATATGCTAACTGGAACAAATACATACGAAGAAGTAGTCGCGACACTCGCCGAAATTAGAAGTCTGTGCGCGAAGGCAGGTTTTCAGCTTCGACAATGGGCAACGAATGAAGAATCGCCGATTGCCGCATTGCACAATAAAACAAATGCAACCCATTTACGGTTAGATCTAAATCAAACGATAAAAACACTCGGGGTTCATTGGAACGCAAGAAGGGACACGTTAGCATACTCCATAAGGGAATCAAACCCACTAAACCGTATTACCAAACGGACAATACTCTCTAAAATCGCGACATTATTTGACCCCCTTGGATTACTAGGTCCAATTATTATCCGTGCAAAATTATTAATGCAATCGTTATGGAAAATTCAATTAAACTGGGACGAATCAGTACCCATTGATATTCACACCGAGTGGTGCACTTACTGGCAGGATTTAACTCTTCTACGTAACTTTGCAGTCAGTCGACATGTGTTATAATCGGACTACGTATCCGCAGAGCTTCACGGATTTTGCGACGCGAGCGAGCGAGCCTACGGTGCTTGTCTCTACGTGCGCTCTATTAATCGACACGGAAACATCATAACGCGGTTAGTATCTTCAAAATCCAAAGTAGCACCGTTGAAGACAGTCACATTACCACGATTAGAACTGTGCGCATCTCGCCTGCTTGCGAAATTATACGTGACAACCAAACGCGCCCTGCGAAACATAGAATTTAACAAAATCTTGTTCTGGTCCGATTCCACAATTACATTGCATTGGCTCAAATCGTCACCTCATACGTTAAAAACCTTTGTTTCACATCGGGTAGCCGATACACAAACGTTAACCGGACAACACGAGTGGCGTCATATAATATCAGAAGACAATCCTGCAGATTTAATCTCGCGAGGCATGCGTACAGAAGATTGCGTACCGCATCTTCAATCAATAGAGATACCCGATTTACGACCTATCATCGCGTTACCTGCACAAACGGAATTCAAATTCTTTGAAAGGTTCTCCTCCTTCCAGCGTCTTAAACGCGTCGTCGCCTACATACTTCGATTCGCGCGAAACTGTTTGAAACGGGAACTGTCTCATGGACTGCTGACTACATTCGAATTGCGAAAAGCGGAAGTGCGAATCATTATCCTCGCCCAACAACAATCGTATCGTAGTGAGTTGCACGAGCTCAAATCGACCGATCGTATAAACAATCTATCTTCACTGACTCCGTTTTTTTATTTTGACGGGATTCTACGAGTCGGTGGTCGTTTATCACGCGCAGAGCTTCCATATAATGAGAAACACCCTATTCTCCTACACAAAACCAACTACGTAACGAAATTAATCGTTCGCGACGAACATATAAAAAATCTTCATGCAGGCGCGCAAGCAACATTGAACGCAGTTCGCAGAGCGTTCTGGATTCCTCAAGGCCGGGAATTAGTGCGTCAAACAATACACGAATGCGTCGTCTGCCGCCGTGCCAAACCCTTCGCAGTAAACTATTTAATGGGTGATCTTCCGACAAGTTGTATCACACAATCGCGGCCATTTTCACAATGCGGAGTCGATTTTTGCGGCCCAATTTTCATAAAGGAAAAAATCCGACGGAATCGTGGGAAGATCAAGGTCTACCTAGCCATCTTTATCTGTTTCGC